TGCATCCGGCCCGCGGTGGAGCCCCACTCCGTGCGCCAGGGGGCCCTCATGCAAGCCCTGCCCTGCCCACCTTGCTCCGCCTCCGCGGGGCGGGCACGTGGGGCCCCCTGACGAGTCACTTTCAAAAACAATTACTTTTTGCTGGAGTGGAATTCACATAACTTAAAATTTGCCATTTTAGAGTGAACAGTCGGGCGGCGTTTAGCGTATTCACAGCCGCCACCTCTGTGGAGTCACAGCCGCTTCGTCGCCCCCGAGGGAAACCGCGGCCACTGGGCGCTCGGTCCCCTGTCCCCGCGGCCCCTGGTGGCCCCACACCCCCTTCCTGTCTCTGCGGGTTTGCCGGCCGGGCCACCCCGTGTCACGGGGGCGACCATTCCGTCCGCGTCGCACGTCCTTCACGCAGGTGCGTGGGGCTCGCCCGCCGGCCTCTGCGCGGCTGCGACGGCGCAGCGCGTGTCTGTCCACTCCGCGTGTCTGTCCACTCCGCGTGTCTGTCCACTCATGAGCTGTGGGCGCTTGGGTTTTTCTGCCCTTGGCTGTCGTGGGTCGCCTTCTCTGAGGTCTCGCGCAGGGACGTCTCCGCGTCGCCTCGCGAGGGCTCCCCTCGTCCCTGCACCTGCCTCCGTGACCCGGCTGCCCGGGCTCTCTGCGCCTGCGCAGGGCCCCGCGAGGGGCGGGGCTGCCCCCCCCACCCGGGCGCTGCCCCCGGCACTGTCACCACGCTGCTGCCCCCCACCCCAGGCACTGTCACCACGCTGCTGCCCCCCATCCACGCGCCGCTGCCCCTCCGCCTCCCCCACCCCGTGGCCAGGCTCGGGGCTGGCGGGGGGCTGGCATGCGGTCATTTCCTCTGAAGCAGACCCGCGCCCGTCCCCTGCGTCGTCTGGACGGGCACCTGGCCGCCCGGAGGTACCTGTCTGCTGGGTGGTTCACTGTAGCCACCCTGGGCACATGGGCAGGTGTTGGCTGCAGGGTGGTGGGGGGCAGAAGTGAGGCTCAGGGCGCAGGTCACTTCGGCACTTCCGGGGGAGACCTTCCAGGACCAGACTGGACACCGGCCAGCAGCATGGCGTCCTGGGCGCCAGGCGGGCTTGCTGGCTTCTGGAGGGGACACATAGCCCCTGAGGCCACTCTAGTGTTGGGGCCACCCTCAGCTGGGTCTCCTCCCTCTCCCTACCCCTTCCCACGTTTCAACTGCAATCGCCGCTGGTTACAACGGCCCCAGATGAATGGTGCCCTGTGGCTGCAGTGGGCGGGGTGAGGTGTACCAGGGCGGGGCCTTGTCACTGAGTGTGAGCCACCAGCCAGAGCTCGGTGCCCTGTGTGTGGAGCAGCTGTTGTGTCTCACTGGCTCCTGACACCTCCTGCTGTGGGGCGGGGGCGGGGGGCAGGAGGGTGGGAAGCAGCAGGCCTGCCCCTTGAGTGGCATGGTGCCCCCGGTGAGGGTCTGGGAGGAAGGCCTGGGGACTAGACCTTGGGGGACGCCGGCTTCCTGAGAGGCAGTTGGCTGGCATTGTGCTGGCCCTCTGCTCACCCTGAGCCAGCATGTGACTTCCTGGCCCTAGAGAGGCTGGGTCTCCCGAGGGTCGAGGTTTGACGCAGCCTGGGGTATGGGAGCATGCGTGAGGATGGGTCTGGGGTCGTCGCCACGCCCTGTGCATAGGAGCTGCCCAAGGCCACGGAGGTGGTGGGAGCACTTGCCCAGTGGCCCCAATGGGGTCTCAGGACACCCTCAGAGGTCAAGGGAACCCTGGGTCACGGGCCCCTGTGATGGGAGACGTCCGCCCCATCTCTGCCTCTGACCCCAGTCCCTTACCAGGAGTCTGGGGGGCTCCGGGCCTGAGCCCCCCAGCTGTGCAGCGGGGGCGTCCGTCCCCACCATGGGTGTCCGTCCTCACCGGCGGCTCGGGCACTGAGAGCCGTTAGTCGGGACTGCGTGGGCTTCGCCGTGTGCACAGCTCATGGCGCCTGCCGCTCTCACCTGGGGGTCTTGGTTCCCGGCGGAGCCGTGGCCCTGGAGGACACGCGGTGAGCGGGTCAGGGCCTCAGCGTGTCTTTGAGGTGGCCGTCTGGTGACCATTCCGCTCTGTGTGCAGGCGACTCGTTTGTACAGAGGGGCTGGGGGGCCATGTGCTCCGCCGGGTCAAGCCAGAGCTGGACGGCACGATTTTTTCCGAGAGTTTTCTGGGTTATGAGATGTATGACGAAATTCAACCAACTTCTGCATGAATTTCACTAACTTGGGACATTTGACGTATTATTACCACTTTCCAAGTAATTCCCGCCTCTGGTGTGGAATTTTCCCGAGGACGCTGTGGGGGCCGGGAGTGCCCTGGGTGAGGTGGGCTGGGAGGGAGAGGCGGGCAGCCCACCCTGCAGACTGTCTCGGGCACCCACTTCCTGCCCCCGAAGGCGTTAGGACCTTGGGGGAGGTGTCAGGAGCAGGTTTGGGGGGGAAGCCTTCGTCATGTCACCTGTAACAGCCGCGGTGACTGAGGACTCCTCAGCGAGGCCTGTCTCTGCCTTGCTTTCCTCAAGGGGCAGTTTTCTGTCTGTTTCCGGGAAAACCAGGCTCCAGAAAGGGCCGTGTGCGCTGCCTGAGCCCGCTGGGCCTCCGAGCTTCCTCGGGACGCCCTGCCCGCCAGCTGGGCACTACGCTCCCGCGGGACGGAGGGCTTGAGGCGGGCACACACGAGGGACCGGTCGCTGCTTGCTTTTTAGGGGGAACGTGCTCGAGCGCTCCTGCCACTTGGTGTATTGGTGGTGACAGCACTCAGCTGTGCTGTGTCCTGCCGGCCTGCACCCAGGGGCCATGCGGATCCCATGCTTCGGCTGCTCCCCCCACCTTTGCCCTGAGCCCAAACTCTCCTTCTGGGAACCGCAGGACTGATGACAGCCCACGTAGAGCCGAATGTGACAGTGCGGGGCTCCTGTGTCACCACGGGGCCGTCCAAGGCATAGTTTCAGCCACCGAGAAACCAGGAATGGTCTGTGTTAGTCTTACAGGGACCACGGCCAGGGGAGCCTTCATGCGCTTCTGGAAAGACCTGCCTTTCCTGGGGGCTGGATCCTGAGGTTGGATAAGAAACCCTAGAACTCTCTTAGATGCCACCTGGGGGAGCCCCATCTGGGCTTCATGCCCGACAAGCTGTGAGGAGGGGGCCCCAGGGTCCTGGGGCTTAGTTCAGTGACCCAGACCGGAGCAGCGGCCCTCAGAAGGCCGTGGCCTGGGCCGGGGGGTGCTGTGGCCATTCAGGGCGGCTTCTGTGCGTTACCCCTGGGGATGTAGAATTCAAACCTCCCTCCGCTCATTGATCGGCTGCATCAAGATGACCTATTTTCATAGCAACTCTGTGCTTCTAACTCTGCAAAGTTAAAGCCTTCCTTGAGGTATAAATGTTCTTAAACCACCGTTTTAAAATATTTATCTGAACCGGGAGGGGCCTGTGGCATCGCCCTTGTGGTGAGCAGCCAGCCGGCCGCGGGTGCCGAGCTCTGGCCACAGCCACAGGCCCGGTCCCGTGAACGTCAGGGCTGTGCAGGTCGGACCCTTCCTTCTCGCCTACCCTGTGATTGTGGACGTTTGTAGCGCAGGGGAGGTGCACGCAGCAGCAGAGGTCACGCCGGGGCACGCGGCAAACTGGCCAGCCACGGCTCGGGACCCTGGGTCATACCCCGGCACCCTCTTCTCCGTCCCGTCTGCACGTCAGCTTCGGGAGCAGCCCCCGGCGACTTGTAAAAGGCAGCACCCCCAACTCCCTTTCTCCCTGCCCCGGACTTGTCTGCTGGCTTAGGGTCTGTGCCCCGCCCCGGAGGGTCTGCTCCGGGAGTGACCTCCCCGCCCCCTCCTGGGGTCTGGGATGGCCTGGCCTGTGGCAGCCTCCGACCTCGGCTCGCTCACCAGGGCCCGGACTCCTGGACTGATACACGCCCAGAGTCCTCAGCCGGACAGCTGAGGTCCAGCCCCAAATGGTGCAGGAAGAACAACACCCCCCACAAAGGTGGGGGCACTGGAGGGCTCCCCGGCTCAGGTGGCTCCTGGGCCATGCTCAGGACGGCAGGGCCCTGGAGTGTGTTGGCCTGCACAGCGGGGTGGAGGGTCAGAGGGCGGGAGCATAGAGGCCCCTAGGACACCGCGGTCGGGAGCGAAAGGCTTGTACGAGGCCTGGGGCTCGAACCACACAAAGCCTGGGTGCCTGAGGCTTTGCAGCTTAGGGGCTGCTCGGGCCTGGGGCTTGGGAGCCAGAGACCCACGGACACAGGCCCGGGGGACACGGCCAGGCCACCTGGGCCCGGGCGGCATGCGGCTCCCTGCTGGGTGCTGGGGACAGAAGGGGACGTACGCGTGTGTGCACTGGGGGCCGTCTGCTGTGTGAGGAGAGGCATGGGCTTGACAAGCCTGGAAAGCTCCCTACCCCATGTCCCTACCCCGTCCACACCACAGGGAGCAACACGCGCGGGCCACGCCTGCACAGGGCAGGGCGGGCGGGGCGTCCCGTGCCAGTCAGAGGCGGGACTCGAGCTCCCTTCCTCCACTCTGTCCCGTCTGTCACAGGCCCTGCGGGTCACCCTTGGAGGGGCGGTGGCTCCGTTACTGACCCTGGGGTGGCCGCCGGCTCTCCTCCAGCTCATTTGGTGAGCACCCTCCTGGAGACACAGCCGGAGGGGGCCTGCCTCCCCGAGAGCCGGGGCCACCCCGAGAGCCGGGGACCTCCTGTTTCCGGGTCTTCGTTGGTTGGGGGGCAGCTTTCACTGGGGCCGCTGGGTGTCCCGTCTTGTCTGTGGGAGAGGTGGCCCCGCCCCACGATGAGCCCAGCAGAGGGGGCTGCAGGCCCAGGACCCGCCTCTGCCTTGGCTCAGGCTCCCTGCTTCGCTCAGAAGCCTGAGGTCAGCGTCCAGCCAGGGTGACGTGGCTGCAGGGGCTCCTGCCACCGTGGGGGGCCTGGGGGCAGCTGCCTTCCCGCCGCCTCACCTGGCACCCTCTGTTTTCTCTGCAGTGAACTTCGACCACTTCCAGATCCTGCGGGCCATCGGGAAGGGCAGCTTCGGCAAGGTGAGGCTGGGCGAGCCAGGTGGCAGACGGCTGCGGGGCGCGTCCCTCTGCCCCCGGGGCTGTCGGCGGGGCGTGGGTGCACTTCCCGCCCCGCAGGCTCGTGACACGGGCGTCGAGGGGCTGTGGGCCGAGCTCACAAGCGCTAGGGCCGCGGGTGTGCTTCCCGCCCCGCAGGCTCGTGACACGGGCGTCGGAGGGGCTGTGGGCCGAGCTCACAAGCGCTAGGGCCTCTCGGCCTAGGCCTTCGGGGGCCTGGAGCTCGGCGGGAGCGAAGTGCAGGAGGCACAGCCACCGGACTCTGCGAGCGGCTCCGGGGCGCGGCCTCGGGTCCCACTCACCCTCGTGTTCGCTCAGCCGGTCCAACCTCTTGGTCACTGCCCCGTGATATCTGCAGACGGGGGTCGCCGTGATCCGAGGCCCCGCAAAGGTGGACGCTGGTTCCTCTGCCCCGATGTCCACGTCGCAGAGGCTTCAAACAACGGAAACGCGTCCTCTCGGTCCCGGAAGCCGGCGTCTGGAACGCGGGCCCGGGATGGGCGGCCCCCCACCTTTCCTCCCCAGGGTGTTCAGCGGGGCCTCAAAACTAAGTTGGCGGAGGCGGAGGACCAGGAGAAGAGCACAGAGTTTTCGAATACACCTCACGTGTCGGCCCTTGCGGGGAAATAAAGCCCCAGAGACAGGGCGAAGCCGAAAAGTCTCCCGCCGAACCGGGAGGTGGACGAGAGGGGCCTGCAGGACGCCACAGGAGGGCGGGCCACTCGCACCGCGGCCCCGGCTCCCCGCGACACTGCCTCCTGGCATGGGGACATCTTGCACGTGGGGGCCTGTTTCCTGCCTGCACGTGTTAAATGAGGGGCGTTTCCATGGAAACACAGGCGGCTGAGAAGCCGGTGGCCAGAGGGCAGTGGTTTAGGAAGACTGGATGTCGGTCTCCGCGCATCTTCGGATGGCGCAGGAAGGACGGGCGGCGGCTGTGACGCTTCCTGGCTTGTGTTCGGGTGTCGCCAGCGGCGGCGCCGGGGGCTCCGGCGAGCTCTCGGAGGGGCGCGCGCCGCGGGAGGCACGAAGGGCGCCCGGACGCCATTGAAGTTCGTGCTAACCGTCCAGCTCCCGTCCGCGGAGTTTGCGGAAAAGGGCGGCTTCGTCCCCAGGGATTCCCGGTCGCTGGGTGGGAGACAGCCGGGGACGCGGGTGACTGACGCCGGCATGAAGAGGCCGGGGAGGCGGGCGCGCCGGGCACCCCGCGAGGCTCTGCGGTGGCTTCCTCTGCAACACAGACGTCCGCACGACGAAGCCCCCGTTTCGTTAAAGGTAATCGAAGTCGGTCACGTCCGTTCGCAAAGCCGATCGGTCTCGCGGAGGTGGCCGCTCGCCCCTCGAGTGCGGCAGGAACGGAGCTTCGGTTGCCGGCTGGAACTGTCGCCGGGAATTTCGGACTCGACGTTGAAAGCCTCCGGAGGCCAAGAAGCCAAGTCCGCAGCTTGTGGCCAGACCGTGCCCGTGGTACCTCTCTTCTCGAGGTCCCCAAGAGAACCTGAGATTCCCGGGCCTGACAGGAGGCGACCGTCTGTCTTCAGCTCTGAGGCCGGGAACACTGCGGGCCGGGGACCGGGTGGCGCTGCGAGGGGCTTTGTGCCCACGGGCTCCATAAAGTCAGCCTGCTGTCTGTAATCTGCCTGGTCCCACGACTCCACTCGCACCGTTTTTAAATGTGACGTTCTGACCGAAGCGAGGGGCTGCCCGCTGCGCCCGCCCCCCGACACGGCTGCCCTTCGCCCCCACGCTCCATTCCAGGCTGTGCATCCCTACGTTGCTTACGTTAGACAGCGAGCCGTGGCACCTCTGCTTGGCACCGTGGAAATCGTCCCTCATCGTTAAGTGTTCGTGGCCGTGAGTTCGTTCATCAAGCTCGTAGGCACGTGCGCCGAGGTCACTGGGTGCTCAGGTGTTTGAAGTCTTGGCATAAATGATACTATGGTGAACATCTCCGGGACAAGGCCCTTCATGTCCCAGGATGGGCCCTGAGCCGAGGGCACACGGGTTTTGCCAAAGGGTTGGAGCCCGCGTGCCTGGCTGGGGACAGGATGCCCGCTGGGATGTCTGGCCAGTTCCGGGTCTACCTTCGGGCGAGGCACCTGGGATCTGGAGTCCCAGACTCTTCCAACTCTGTCCAGGTCACCCTGCTCCTGGTCCTTGAAGACCTGGAGGCCGAGGGCTGTGGGGACCTCAGAGATGGCTCTGGGGTATGTCCTTGGGAGGTCTCACCATGACTTGGATGGGAACACGGTGGTGGCTGTGCAGCCTACTGTTTTGTGCATGAACCCTGGTTCCCCCTGGAGATCTTTGCCCCCGATTCTGATCGAATTTCTTTGGCCATGAGAAGCCCCAGGCCACGCGTCTCCTGGTCCTGTGCTGCTTCGTGTTCCTCGCCTGGTCCTCTCTGCCGGGCAGGTAGTGACACGCCAGCGCCGTCAGCATGGCTGGTTGACATTGCAGTTCGGTGCACAAGGGGGATGGGACAGCTGTGCGGGGAGGGGACCCTGCCGTCCGGGAGGGGTGGGGATGTCGAGATGGCCGCTGTCATTCCTGGGGCTTCCCGGGTGCAGGGCGGTGGCTGCGGGGTCCTGTCACTCAGCACCACCACCCTCCAGGCCGGCTGCTGCTCGGAGCCCCAGGGACGGTGTGCTGGGGTTGAGGACGGTGACGCCCCCTGCCCAGGTCACGGCTGGTGAGGGGTGCGGGCACCAGCGCCGGCCCACAGGCCCCCCGCCCTGCCTGCTGTGCTCTCGGGCTGGGTCCTGCCTGCCCTCGGAGGGCGCCTGTGCACAGGGCACGCGTCCCGCCAAGACTGACATCAGCGGTTTCAAAGCCGAGCCTGCAGCAGCCGTGCCAAAGCGCGCCGTGCCCCCCGCAGGTGTGCATCGTGCAGAAGCGGGACACGGAGAAGATGTACGCCATGAAGTACATGAACAAGCAGCAGTGCATCGAGCGCGACGCCGTCCGCCACGTGTTCCGGGAGCTGGAGATCCTGCAGGAGATCGAGCACGTCTTCCTGGTCAACCTCTGGTGAGCCGGCTGCCCGCCCCTGCGCCCTGCCTCCCCGTCCCCTCACCCCAGGGCCTGGGCCAGCGGCCGTGCGGGTGTCCTCTGCGCCCCCGTTGATGAGGAGGTCTGGGCTCGCGCACAGAGGAGGCCCGCCGCCCGCAGTTTCTGGGAGTCAGCGGGGAGACTTTGGGGGCCTGACTGAGTGTCCGCCACAGCAGGGGCACCAAGACCAGCCCCAGGGGGCGTGGGACCTGTAGGCTGCCCGGGCCGTCCCTGCCCTCCCCGGCAGCGTGTCCCGCAGCGCCCTCCCATTGAGGCCTGTGTGCTCGCGGACGGCAGGGCCTCCCGAGGGCCCTTGGCGGGCATGGGCGCCCACGGCAGCTGGAGAGGCCCCTGCTAAATGCACTCGGGCTCTGGCAGTGTGCCCCAGAAAGACTGGAACATCCCCCCAATGTAGCCCGAGAGTCCATGAGCAGAAGGCAGAGGAAGAGGCAGCCAGCGGGAGTCTGGGGACAGCCGCGTGTTCGGCGTGCTCGGGCAGGTCTTTCAGGGGACTCCCTCAGAGCCCCCACACACCCCCCATTACTTTCCTGGGGGTCAGGTGCAGGAGGGATGTCAAAGCGGATGGCGGCCACACCACCCCGAGTGGAGTCGCTCGGCCCTGCTCAGTGGCTCTCCCCAGCCGGGTGATTGCGTGACAACAGGGAGACGGACCAGACTCCAATGTCCCCAGGGAGTGGCGGAGCCCGAAGCCGCCCAGGCCAAGGAGCATGAGGGAAAGGCCTTCGTCCTCAGGCTCCTCCCCCGGCCGCATGTGCCTGCCGACCTCGCTCACTGCGGCCCGCGGCCCTGTAGGCCATCTGGTCTCCAGACAGGCAGAGGGGCTGTCGGGCACCCGAGCTGTTACGGCTTTGGCCCTGTTTTCAGCATCTTGGGACAATGGCTCTAGGCCAGGCTGTCCAAGTGCCCCTAAACCCTCCAGCGTGGCCCAAGGCCAAGTCAGATGCCTCAGCCTCAAAGGCAGGATCGTGCCCTGGGGCAGGTCATGGGGCAGAAGGGCCTCACCGCAGGAGCCAGCTCACAGCCTGCGGGAACGGCTGGCATCTGCGGCCACGATGTTGGCACTGCGCCTTCTGCAACAGGGGGGCCTGGGAGCATCTCCTCTGGGCGCCCCGGCCTCTCTGGGAGGCAGTGGTGCCTAGTGCTGAGGAGCGTTGGCTCCTGGGGTGACACCCTCTGCCCTTGTTCGGTCCCCTCCTCTTTGGGGGTTGGAGGGGTAGAGCAGGTCCTGGGCCACCTTGTGTGAAGGTTTGGACGTGCGCTCAGGTGACACACCTGCGTGGGGTGACGTGGGGCCGTGAGCCCTTGTGGTTGGTGACTAGTTTCCCCACCTTCGCCACGGGCGGGCCTGCCAGGGGATGCTGCCACCCTTCCAGGGCCAGGCGGGGGTGGGGCCATTGCAGCCTGGCCCGTGTGTGTGGGAGGCCACAGGCCCTTGTCCATGGCTCTCCAGGAGACCTGGCTTGTTTGGGAGCCTGGCATCCTGAGTCCTCTTGCTCCGTGGTCCCATTCCTGTGCCTCTTCCCCAGGCCCCAACCTGCACCACCCTCTAGGCTGCCTCCCCTGAGAGCGAGGACAGGGTGGCTTGCAGAGGACCGAGAGAGGAGCATCACATCCGTGACTGCTTTGTAACCATTCTAGAAAGAGCAAGTTGATTAACAATAAGAGTTATCTCTGAGACACAAAAATACATAAATAAAAAGGAAAAAAGAACAATCTCCCCCCTGCCAAAAAAAAATGAAAAAAAAAAAACCAAGAAGCAAACAATAAGGGCTGCCTCCGACGGCTCACGGAGAAAGTTAGAGTGGAAGGTCCTAAACCCCCGCTTTGTTCCTACCCCTTCTGCTCACTGCCTGGCACACCTGTTCTTCATCTTCATTACTGCCACCATCGTCACCCCGCCCCATCATCGTCAC